GAGCGAGACCCCGTCTCTACTAAAAATAGAAAGAAATTATTTGGACAACTAAAAATCTATATAGAAAAAATTAGCCGGGCATGGTGGTGCATGTCTGTAGTCCCAGCTACTCGGGAGGCTGAGGCAGTAGAATTGCTCGAGCTCAGCAGTTTGAGGTTGCTGTGAGCTAGGCTGACCCTAGGGCACTCTACTCCGGGCAACAGAGTGAGACTTTGTCTTGGCGGCGGGGGCGGGGCAAGATCTGTTACAGCCTGAACTAACAGTAGAAACTGTTAAAAAGGGGGAGGAGCAGGTCATTTCCATGCTGACCATTAAAGCAAATTGCTAAAACCAATCCCTCTTTCTATCCATCTCTTCCCAAAGCTCAGAGGCAGCCTTCATTTCCCTATTTGTTCTTTTTCACAATATCTAAAAGTAGGACACACCAGGTTTTCATTTTCATTCACTTTTTAGCACTTCAGAATGTGTAGGGTAGTGAAAGGAAGCAATGAAACAGAAAATGAAACTATCTCATGGTTCTCCAAAAGTTATTATATTGCAGTTTTGGCATGCATTGGAATGACTATAAATTTTATCAACCCTATGGGAACTTCTGTACCTACTAAATGTCTTCCTTAAAAACATTTATTTTGGAAGAAGATGTGTTTATTCTAGTACTGCTGTCCATGCTCATGGTATTTTTGAACTCTTATGAGCAATTACAACAGTATCAAAATAAGTGCAAGAACATGTAGAAACCATAAGATACGGTACATACATATTGTGGAGTACCAACTTTGCTCAAGGATGTGAAGACATTAATATTTTCAAATATTGAAATGAATACAGATATACAAAGGAGCGAGATGCAAAGTTTCCATGAATTTTTAAGATAAAGCAGATTTTGAATCAGTTTTCTGCAGGTGGTTGTCCACTTTTAGCTAACTTTCCAGTCCTTAGGTTATTTAGAGTTAACTCTTCTTTAGGAAGAAAGATTTGAGAAGCCTTGCTTTAGGAGTAAATCTTGATTTAATTTTCATTTTCTAAGCATATAAAAGAGCAGCAAGTCCTAGATGGCATGAGAATTAGCCTGCTGAAAACATGGTTGGAATAATACCTAGAGTGATTACTCTAGGTTATGCATTCTAGATGGGGGCAAAAACTGATTATTATGGGATTAAAAATCATAATCTTAGATGCTAAAACGGTTTGCGGCCCTCCAACGAGCCATAGTACATAGACATATAAAACATGTCTATAGTATTAAGCTTTCATTGTTGCAGGGAACAGGGAGCAATCAGGAAAAAACAAATGTCCAAAAAGGCCCTTTGCACAGGATATAATTTTTTTTAAAAAGTGAGACACACTGCTGCATGTCTGCATAATCTATTAACACATATATAGGAGTTGATGGTATTTCCACAGGAAGCCCTTATTATTTCCCTCATCATCTAAGGTTTGGGGGTTTTTGTCCTTATTTTGAAAGATGCATCTAATAAGCAAATGCTATTATACTGACGAATACATTTTCCCATTTTCTATTTGTTGTATTAAGTCCCGTTCAACAATAACTATCACACCAAGCTTCTATATTTCTAGACAATAGCAAAAGCATTTAATGTGTTAGTTTTCTTGCATATGAAGTCAGAGTTTCTGTTTGATTTTAAATACTAAAATAGTGTTTGACAGCACATAAACATGACGGACTATCATACAACAATTTAAAATGACATTTATTAAAAAAATTAATGATGTAGTAAGATACTTAATGATGTAGTAAGATACTGTGTTAAATGGAATTGAGACAGAATTGACACATTCAATATGATCTTAACTGTGTAAAAATGTACAGATAAAAGATCAGAAGTACTCAACAAGAATGTTCCCTCTTGATGATAGGGTTCTGTGTGATTTCTTTTTCTGGTTAACTCTGTAATTCCACTTTATTTTCCGATGTGCATGCATTACTTTCATAATTAGAAAAATCACCACCACCACTACCAACAAAATGGCCTCAGATCCTCTCTGCTAGTTTTATAAGCCCTGAGCTGCTCAAGAATCTAAGACTGAAAACCAAAGTTTGATTCTGCTAATGTGAAAAGTACATGAGGCACATAGTTAGTGGCTTGCCTAAGAATCCCAGTTTTGAAATCTCTAATGTAGTTTTTCTATTGCTATTGCCTTCTATTCCTTTGTCAATACTACTATTCCTTCACTATTGTCTTGATTTTATCACTGGGCATCTCCAAACACAGTTTAGCAATCATTGTTAGATGCATGTGTGATTTTTTTCTAACTTAATTTTGGTTTGGCTCCTGATAACAACACAAACTTTATTAACAAATAAAAAAATAAAACGTGCGAACAGCTTGCTGAGAAAGACAGAATTGATTTAAATCCTACCAGACTGACATTTACTAAGTGTGTCACCTTGAGTAAATAACTAAACTGTTATGTCTTATTTTCTTCTATAAATTGACATTAATAGTACCTATTTCAGAGTGGTTGTGACGAATAAAATTATATC